AAGATGCTTATTAGCTTTGTCTTCAGCGTCTCTGGCCTCTGGTAAATAAAAAGCCGTTTGCAGACTTATATTTGCACACAAACGTCATTTTGGAAAATGATTGCAATGCAGTTTGTTCAAGTCCAGAACAGAGATGGTCTGAAATGAACCAAAAAACTGTTAGAGTGGTTTTCAAATCACGGTATACCTTGAAACCGCTAGTCAGTCCATCATGCCTCAAACTGAATTGCAAAAATAATGATGGTTTTCAAAGAGTCCCACTGCACGCCTCCTGTCTTCTGTTGTTCAGATTGATGTTCGTCTCCAATTGACGCAAATTGTTAGAGCCAGATGTTGATATTTGATAGATGTTGTTGGATTGGATATGATCATTTTTTTTACCTTGTGAAAAATTACAAACTCAAAACTTTTAAACTGTTTATCATGAATGTAACAAAACTGAAGTATATCATTAACAATTAACAATACTTTTTCATGATACAATGTTCAGATTCAGGAATTTCTTAAGTCTTAGAATCAGATTAAATGTTCTCAAATATACCCCCAAGTCTGTGCATTTTCTTAGCCTTCTGGGAAAAGATCTTTTGCAAAACAAATTTATAATAAGAACATGAAAACAAAGATTGCATTTAAAAAAGCCAAATTGCAATTGTTGTTCGTCTAGAAATTGATGATGTTGTCCAGTGCTGTTAATTATGTAATTGCAATATAATTGCAGATATTTTAAATCTTTCACCTGTATTTTCTTGAACATTTACACTAAAACTTCATTCTAGAATTGTTTTGCTTCAGGTAAAAATTTGGAATCAGAAAGTTTCGTTGTATCCAAAAACGTTTGAAGCAAAAAAAACTGTTCAGTATGTTTTAGAATGAATGAAATAACATTTAATACTGGCCATATAATACTGGGCATTTAGTGGTCTATTTAAAGTGCATTTAAATTGAATTGATTTTTACAAACCATTCAGTCAAAATTCGAATATAGTTTTCATCCTTCTTTTGTTGTTTGTTTAGCAGAAAGTGGAAGTGCATCTTTGAAACGCCGATTTTAATTTACAACCAGCACACAGAATCTCACACACGCATGGTAAGGGAATAGTAAGGGAATCTTGAAGGCACGTCCATTGTTGCCAGTATTATTGACCCGGTGAGGTCAGATCTAATGTAAGAGGCATTAGCGAGAGCGGAGATGGAGATACAGTGAGTTAGAGTGAATGGTGAGATAGAGAGCTGAGTGTCCTCCTGACAGCGACGAGCATCTGCTGCTCCACTATCCACAGCCGTCCGAGTGTCTCTGTCTCCTCAGCTTTTGTACTGTTCCCATATGCAGGGTGTTCTTGGTCAGGGTGTTCTTGGTCAGGAATGGTCTTCAGTGGTGGCTGATGAAACACGGTCATGCATTTAAGATGAATAGGAACATCAGTGAACATCACTGAAAAAATTCTCCTGTATGCTTCCTTTACTAAACAACATCCCTCAGGGCTTTTAGTCCACATTTGCTCAGTTAGAGAATACTTATGGATTATAATGTGTTTACTTCATTTCATTGGAGAGAAGTATTTTTTCAGATTTTACTTCTAAGCAATGTGAGCATTATGGAGCACTAAACACTCTCCTGTAACGTCGGTTTCATTCATACTGGTAGCGCCTTGCGCAGAAAGTCCACAAGTGAGATTTATAGAAGTCATAAATTATATTACGTTCATATGATGGACGGAGGCATCCAGCGCTCACAGTACTTATGAATGGGAGAAACTGCAACACACAATATGGTAGAATAGTCCCGCCTTCTGAGTAAAAGAGCCAATCACTGATCGGTAAAGTCACTGCTGTTAGAATCTCCGGTTGCCATAGAAACCGCCAGCGTTCTGAGACGCCGCTTAGGACTGCACATGTGCATTGACTGGTCTAGCCTGAGAAATATGCTTTTTACTGCTATTTGAGCATGAGAAACAACATTTATGAGACAGATGTTGTCAGATTTGATTGGTGATCTCAAATATGAAATTTAATCGTAAGCGTGCTGAACAGAATTTGATGTTCCCCATTCAAAGACACAGGAGCGCTTGTGTGACTCAAATAGCCGCCCGAGAGGCGTTTCAAAGATGGCCGCCGAGTGAAACGTCTTGCTTTTGGTAACATGCACATTTCGGAAACGTTTCGGCTGATGAAACATGAAGACAATACACACAATTAACACGAAATCCAAACACGATTCCAACAAAATATGGTTAATCTGTGTAAAAGCCGTCTTGTGCATTTTCATAAGAATAAGCTATTTTGTGTTTTGTCTCATTCTATGATAATTGGTCTCTGAGGTTATTTTAAGCACTCGACTGATGTGCTGTCGTTTGATTTTGGAGCAAAACATGGAATTAATCTCATAAGTGGTCATGTTTTGATGCTGGGTTAAGCTAATGCTTGCTAGCCCTTATGCACCTGTTGTCAGAACATTGTTGTAAGACTAATTTTTCATAATTTTGCAAATCCACATAAGATCATTGGAATGTTTCTTTTTTTTTTTTAAGAAAGATTTTTCATCTTTCAAGGTGAATAAGTTTGGTCCAAGAAATTCGGTTTAAAAACGTTCTCTCCCGCAGTCATCAACATGCACGCCATACTGCCGTCACATCACCCAGAAATCACATGAAATGATCAAATAAAGCTTTAGAGGGACAAAGATTCAATTTGGTGGCTGACAAAATATTTCCAATGCAGGAAACCCCTGTTTAGGTCAAAGTTCACGAGTTCCACAGCAGACAGAAGCACAGCGTGTCTAGACGTTTGCTAAATGGAAATTTAACGAGAGCCAAGTCTGATTAATAACTCTTAACTCCCATCCATCAAACTAGCCAACGTCTCATCATCATCATTTTTTTCTTTTAGGTGAGAGATACTGTACAAGTTGTAAAAACCCCATTAAAGAACAAATTCTCATTGTTGTATAGTTTCATTTAGCACCTTTTCCAGAATAAAACTCCTGTCTGAGATTCTGCGTTCTGATGGGATTCATGCACATTTATAGTTAAATGAAAATGTCATTTACTCACCGTCAAACCCATCTGGTTTCAACAAGGATATTCCGCAAACTCCTAAAACTCACGGTCCACCTGAGAAATAATGGCATACGACATGAAGAGTAAATGATGACAAGCTTTTCACTTTTTGGAGAAGTGTTCATGAATTTAAAAAATCTAGTTTAAATGTGCCAAGTTCTTACAGTACTTTGTGTACTTTCTTTCGAGTCATTTTTCCAGCTAAAGTCAGTTCATTGATGATTCAGTGATGGCATCTTCCAGTTCAGCTCTCTTCCAATAGTGTCTGTGCAATCAGTGAAGCATCCCCAACTAAGCAAGCTGAAGGCGACAACGGCAAGGAACCAAAATCTACCTCCCACAGTTCATTTTGATATTCTAGGTATTATCAAATGGCCAGAGTTTTGAGAACGCAGCGGACGTGAAGGACTAAAATGTGATATGAGCTCACTCAAGTACTGAGGAGCTAAACCATTCAGGGCTTTATAAGTAATTAGCAAGATTTTTAAATGTATTCGTTGTTCAATAGGGAGCCAGTGCAAAAAAAAATCAAAAGTATAAATCTAACAACAACAAAAAAAAGTTTTTAAATATATCGTAGAAAAAACAATCATTAATATAATTATTAATTCATAAATTAAGAGACTTATTGACCTTGACTTAGTTTTTTCTGCGTGGTTGTTAGATTTGGCAAACAGAAGTTTAAATATGAACAAGCAATGAAGCATATTTATTTCTTCGAAATAATGATAATGTGTTCTGTTAGTAAGTCTTTTTTTCTTCAGTGCAATAGCACCGTACTTTATGCCACCAAAAAATAAAATAAATTATAATTCCGAAATTGAAAACATGTTTATCATAGTAAAGGTGTAATTACGTCATTGTTTGTATGAAATGGATTTTTGTGGAAAAATTAAGTCGTTATAACGAGAAAACAACTCTCGTTATGTCGATATAATGAGAAAATTAAGTCGTTATAACGAGAAAACAACTCTCGTTATGTCGATATAATGAGAAAATTAAGTCGTTATAACGAGAAAACAACTCTCGTTATGTCGATATAACGAGAAAATAAGTCGTTATAACGAGAAAACAAGAAGGAAAAAAAAAATAATGCATGGCCGCTTAGAACTTCCGTAATTTTCAACTCTTTCTGTGACTTTTTCACATTACAGTAATTAGTAGGTGTGTATAATTCACTTATATGCAATGAAATATCGACTTGTGAATCGAATCTTTTTTTTAAATGCAAACAAAACATGATTCATCCAGTTTGCTCGAACCAATTATATTTGGACCGGTTTGATTCAGACATCCGGTCACATCTATTGTCACGAAAGTCCATCAGGATAATCATCCCAAAATATGCTCCGTTTTCATAATGCAAATATAATGATTGTAAGGTGAAATATGACCCGACCATTCCTGGCTGCCGTTCTCCCAGATTGTTAACCATCCCTCGTTATGATTTACTTCTAAATCCACCTGTTGGGAAAGAGCAGATATGTTTGTCTTTTCTCCAGAGCATTCAGCTGTTACATTCCTGGTTTTACAATCCCATCCTCCCTTCTGTTCTGACACGTCCTTGTGTAGTCGTGCCGCATGGAAGAGCAAACCGCCGGAACTAGTTTAATCCTCACTGTTGCACTACTAGTTTCAGAGCCCCGAGCCATACGACTGTGTGCACCTCGGACTCTTTCCTGCTCCGGTTAGACATTCAGCTGAGGTTTTGCGCGCTTTATGATTTTGAATGTTTGTGAATCCACGCTTTTACGATGTTTATCAAATATTCATGAATAAAAGAGATGATGCACTCTTGAGTGTTCTGGATGTGGACTCTGTGTATGCACTAACCACCTGTTGCTCCTGATGGGCTTTGTCTGTAATGTTACTTTTAACGTTATGGAAACTAACCGTACATGTGACCGTTCTGCCGTGTTTAATGTGTCTTTCTTCTCTCTGCAGCTCTTATATTCCTCTTTTATCTGGTCTTCTATGGCTTCCTGGCGGGAATGTTCAGTCTCACCATGTGGGTGATGCTGCAGACGCTGGATGAGCACACTCCCACATACAGGGACCGAGTGGCCAATCCAGGTGAAAATCCCACAGCATTAAGACATTATTCTTTCTTAAACCTCTTTGGAACAATATGTACTATGAAAAGTGCTAAACGAATAAATTGAAGTGGAAAAACTACAATTTAACACCGCAATATGTTTTTCAAACCGTAGTATGCTGCATTGGCCTTGGCATGTTTAAATTAGACATTGTTTGTCAAGTCATGTAGATGTTTCATATATACAGAAAACCCACATACTGCACATATATTATAAAGTGGAGGCGAAGAAGCAGTATTATAGTATGCTATGGAAACCTGTTTCTGCCACGGGATACAAAAACACATTTTTTTTTTTCTCTTAATTCTGACTTTTTTTTTCCTCGCAATTCCATTTGTATATCTTACAGTTCTGTTTTTGTTTTTTTTCAGCACAATTGTGAGATATAAACTCGGAAATTGTGATATAAACATTTGCGAGATATGAACTGAATTGTGGGATATAAACTCAGAATTGCGAGATATAAACTTGCAAGTGTGAGAAAAAAAAGTTAATTGGGAGATAAAAATAGTATGCCATGGAAGACTTGTTTCCTCCACAGGACGCAAAAATAAAAAAGTCCGTAGGTGAAAATAAAAAAATCAAACCGTAGGTGACAATGCACACGATTTATCTACTTGTACACACACCTGCGTCTAATCTGTTAAAGCAAATATGTTTGTCACAGCAAGCCTCACATTACTGTTCATTTCGTTAACGGAATCTATGACGAAAAATGTTCGTCAACGAAGTCTTTTCCCCTGACGAAAACGAGATAAGGTCATTAAACGATAACTGCGACTATATCAACATTAAATATTGCAGACGAAAAAAGACGAGACTAAAATGTAGTTGTAAAAACAAAAACTTTACCAAAACCTTTTTATTTTTGTTGAAAAAAGTGGAGCCAAAACATTTCCGACTGCTGTCATGTGTTCATGAACATGAATGTGTTCATGTTTGCGGTTGCCAGATATCAAGAGCTCAAATCCTCCGATAGTGGTTGCGGATTGTAACGTTACTTACGCAACCTCTGTGCAGCAAGTCATTTTGCTATTGTTTTAAAAGAGAAACCATTAATGCTATTTGGAATTATTGGAATTGCTTTTAGGAATTTCTCCGTTATAATATTTGAGAGTAGGTTTTTGTTACACCAGTTTCATAACGTAGACAGTCTTTGGTGTATATTTAGCCTCTAATTGATATCCTGTTATAAATCTGTACACTAGATGAGGTCAAATAAACCATGCATACGAGTCGATATTCTATTGATTTGTGCTTATTGGTGAAATAGCAACTTCTGATGAAATGTACAAATGACGCCAAAAATTTAGCAAAATAATATATTTTTTATAATTTTAACCATTATACAGTAAGACAGAAATATGACGAAAATGTCTACGTTTCCACTGACTAAAACGCTCAGACATTTAGTCGACTAAAACAGGACAAGTTGACTAAATATGATAAAAACTAAGTTACATTTGACACAAGACTAAATAGCTAAAAATAGCTGACAAAATGAACACTACCTCACATGTGAAACGGTTACTCCATATTTGCTCATTTTGTAATGCATATCTCTGTGAAACCACTATGTTTGTTAAAAGAATTCCTCACTGACTGGCATATTCAGACTCTCCTTTTGTTCTCTTTGCCTTTATGGTTTCTTTTTTATACTTGCACATGGATGTAAGACTTTTTAGTGAAGGAAAACTCAGGCACTTTATGGGAATATTGTAGGTGGCTTACTGAACCAAGATGTGCTGTTATAAATATACACATCTCTCTGTGAATGTGTGTACATATAAATCTGTTATTTATAGTGTAGGCTATTTATAGGTGATTTATAAGTGATGTGATGATCATACTTGAAATGTTTGTGAATGGATTCTCAATGTATTAAATTCAGTCTTCGTGTTCGTAAATTCAAGTACGGTTTTAAACTATTTCAAAATGAAAATATCTTAAATAATATTTAAATGATTTAAAATAAAATATGTCTGACCAAATGGTGTGCAGAGAGAATCAGATCAGTACCTGCCTTTAAGATTTATTGATCTGGTTGTGTAGTTACTGGTTCTAAAAGGATTTTTAGGATTTATAAATCCTATATGAACACAATTTTTGATTCGTGTGAATAACATTGAGAGTAACAGGACTGACAGAATGTGCGGTAGTGGTGTCTAGTAGCTGATGTGATTTATTCGCCGCTATTTTTACGGTTACCGCCATTGCAATCAGAACACACAGCAGCAGTCTCAGCAGTGTTACACATCATCCATTAGCCTCACACACATATACAGTGGTACACACTGCAGCCCACACACTTGTGTACAGTGGTTGAGTTGAGCTCCAATTCCTTTTCCTCTTGCTCGATTATGAGCGCCGTTAAACCCGGCGAAGTGAGACACAGCTCACAGGTCTCTCTCTCTCTCGCTCGCTCTCGCTATCATTCATCCTTCCCTAAGTGTCAATTTATTCCTCCCACTGATCTTTTTTCTTTTCTTGGTCGGGTTCACCCTGTGTTTCATGTCTCTAGGGTCAAACCTGTGTTTTCCTCTCCCCTTAATCCTGCCGGCGATCTTCCCACCCCCCCCCCCCCCCCCCCCCCCCCTTCCTCCACATCTTTTAGTAACAGAATGTTCTCAGTACAGACACAGTTGGACATCATTTCAGACAAGTTGAAGTTTAGTGTGTCCAATTATCAGTGCCCTGACTGTTCCAAGCTAGATTTTGAGACATTAATGAGCACACATCAATGATTACAACCAAAATGTGTTCTGATACAATTATAAAACATGCACAATGAGCATGAGTACAAGAGCCTTTGAAATAGTGCATCATTTTGAAAACATCTAATTCTACATATATAAATGATCATTTGTAACACTTTATTTTAAGGACCAATTCTCACTATGAATTAACATACATATTACTAGCATACTGGCTGTTTATTAGTACTTATGAAGCACATATCAATGCCTTATTCTGCATGACCATATTTTAGATCCCTTAATCCGACACCATACCAAACCTTAACAACTACCTAACTAACTATTAATAAGCAGCAGATTAGGAGTTTAAATTAGGACTTTAAAATAAAGTATGACCCATTTAAATGTCTGAAATTCCCACATGGAAAATCTGGAAATATAAATACATTTTTGATTGATATTTCAAGGAGTAGTTGAAATTGATGCAAAATTCCCTTTTGAAGTTTCTTAAAGTAAATATAAATGTTTGTAGTTGTGCTTAGCTCTTAAAAAGCTAGAAATTGGCAGTAACTAAGGAACATTATTTTTTTACAAGTCCTTGTCTGGCCATCATGAAAGACTGGAAAAGTCATGAAGGTGAAAATGGAAGGGATTCTGTTTTGAAGGAACCTTGCATGGGTAATTTTGAAGTATTGTAAATAGAGAAACTTTATAAAAATGACATAAAATGCACACATTAACATGTATGTGCTGTAACCTGCATCAATATCATGTATATTTGCATGGCATATTTTGTCCACAGGGTTGATGATCAGGCCGAAGTCCTTGGAAATTCAATTTAACCGATCGATTCCCCAGCAATACATCAAGTATGTGCAGCACCTGGAGTCGTTCCTGGAGCGTGAGTCTCATCACTGATTAAAATGCCTTACTCTCTCTACATATTTGCCTTGTTGCAGTATAATGTGATCATGAACACTGCGCCACCTGAACCTACTCCGATAAATCAGAGGATACTCTAACCCACCATTCAGAACCAGTGTTGGAGTCAAGACCCTCCGAGACTTAGACCAGTACTAGACTGCCTAAAACCCAAAACAATGCCAGGCCTTCCAACACTGAGATCAATGTCAGGCCTCCCCAAGACCCACTTATACCTAGATCTCCTAATACCAGGACCCCCTAAGATCTAGACCAGGGGTTCTCGATTCTGGCCCTCGAGGTCCAGTTTCCTGCTGAGTTTAGCTCCAACTTTGATCGAACTCACCTGCCTGTACCTTTCTAGTAATCGTGAAGACCTTGATTAGCTTGTTTAGGTGTGTTTGATTAGGGTTGAAGTGAATCCCTGATCGAGACCCAGAGCCAGACTAGACCTTTCGAGAACCAGATCCAGACCATGAGCTGATGGTCCAAGAACCAGCCAGTCCATTTGAATGATTTGAAATGGAGAACCAAGAAGCTAAGACCTTGAACTTTTGTGAGGTTGAGGTAATGTCACCTTTAGTACAAATGAGACCACAAGACGAGAGCCGCATCCATAAGACTGAGCATTGAGATCCAGACTAAGCCATGTTTATGTGGTTTTGAGAGCTCTCGAGTGCACAAGATCAAGAATCATTATCTATGTATGGGTGGATAAAAATGTTTGCAACAAATCATATTTGGAGGATATTCTTAATACAGCCAGATTTGAGATAAAATAAAGACACATCTTTACTAAGATGGGTGTTTTTGTAACTCTGTTGTTCATCAAGGTCATATTTGGGGCAAGCAACTGCTACACTTAAGAATTTAGGAAGAGGACAAGGTGGTGCAGTCAAATATTTTGCAAGAAAATTAGTTAACTTACAATCCATTATATTATGAAAATTATACATTACGTAGAGGCATAGTCAAATATATAATTTTATTTGCAGCTCTCGATACAAAAACTTCTCAAATAATGTCCTGCCTATGTAGCCTCTGGCTGGATGTGATCTCCCACTGTTGATGGTTAAATGTACTTGAGTTTGCCTGTTCTCTGCACAAATTGTTATCAGCTGTATGCTATCACCACCCCACCTGAAAGCTTAGAAATTGAAGTCTTTCTTCAATAGATCAGCTAAAGATCAGCTTCAGCAGTCACAAGTGACTCACTTAAGAAGCCCGTGCAATCAAAAGTGGAGTCTTGTGGTTTCTAGTCCGTGTCTGTTAGTTTTGAGATCATGTGTGTCCGCTAAAACCAACATATTTAAAGTCTTTCTTTTTTGGGAAAATAGACCAGAAACATGGATGTCATGTGCTGCTCCGAGGCATTTACACATTCCTGTCCGATAAAAGACTTGCTCTTTCCTAATTCCACCTACCACTGATTAGCCATAGCAAATCGTGGTTTAGTGGTGTGTGTGACAATTGCCTACTTCCTTCTCGGAAGACTGCAAAGAACACCTCTTGAAGTCAGAATTCCGACTTGAGTACTTTTGCGGAAATCCACAACTGCAATTTTGCAGAGATGTGCAGCACCCAAGTACTACGTGGCTAATGATAAACACAAGTCAAAATTCCTCTATTACATGTCCTACGCCTGAATATTGATACTCCTGTAATGTGGCGATTGAAAAACGATATGTAAAATTCGTATGTCTAACAGTAGACGAAACATACCCGGATGACCTACTGCTGAAGATTCTGAAGTGCACATCTCATGAGGTCACGGGAGAGCAGTTGTGAATGGCAGTGAAGTGCAGTGAAACCGATGCCGTAGGTCACATGAGAAAGCCAACACGGCGTCCTCTGCACTCCGGCTGCTAGCAGGCTACTTTGAACGGAATGAAGATTTTAAACTAAAACGATTAGATATTTAAAGAGCAGTACAAACTTTTGATATGTCCTGCCTCTACAACAAAATTAAATGCTCCAACACAGGAATGTTGTGCTTCTCAAATCAAATTGTGAGGTCTTTAAGCTCTTGCTTATTTGAAGCTTTCAAAGACTTCCAAAATGGCCACACTTGTAGATAGGGCTGGGACAATAAATAAATGATTCTGCATCGATTCTGAGATTTTCCGAAGGCATCGTGATTCTCTCTTTAATCGATTCTGAGCTTAGTTTTTAACAGCAGATGGCACTGCGTGCTTTAGAAATAGCCGTATTCTGCTTGCTTCCAGTTCCTTACACACACACCATTTAAACCTAAAACAATCATTCATAAAGTTCGAAAAGGTTGAAGCTAATTACAAGGATGTTCACAGTGGGCTGTGTTTACATTAATCTCGCATCATAAAAGCAGAAAAGCTGATGTGCAAGCACATTTACCCACTTACATTACTACTTGCACAAGCGCTCTTCTTCGTGAGAATTTGAGTGTGAGGTTAAAAACTAGCCTTGAGCGCCATCTGCTGTTAAAAACTAAGCTCAGAATCGATTCGAGACCGAATCACGATGCATTCCGAAAATCTCAGAATCGATCCACGAAACTCAATGCATCGATTTATTGTCCCAGCCCTACATGTAGACAAGAAAAACATCTCCCAAACACACAGTTGTCAAAGCTGCTGAAGATTTCCAGCTTAGCACCTTGATCTCACTATCTATTTTCTCTCATTTGCTACTTCAGCGTACAATGACTCTCTGCAGGAGGCGAACAAGCCCTGTCCCGATGGTATGTACTTTGAGCAAGACAATGTTGAGGAGAAGGCGGCTTGCCAGTTCAAGAGAAGTGAGCTACGACAGTGCTCTGGACTGGCTGATAGCAATTTTGGTTATTCCGAGGGTCAGCCATGCATCCTAGTCAAGATGAATCGAGTGAGTCACTGTTTTTACACTCTTCCCAGTCAAAGCTAGCTGTTAGCTTATGTTCTTCAGACAAATTGAGCCACGGTGCTTATGCAAGGACGCAAAACTTCCAATCCGGCATGCATTGTGCTCCAGTTGCATCTTAGAAATTTAACTTGTTTTTAAATTTAGAAGGATGTTTGTTCATTGCATATACTCCTTTGCAGGTGATTGGGCTTAGGCCACGAGGAGACCCACATATCAACTGCAAAGTCAAGGTAATTCCCAAATCACACTTTGTGTTACTAGCTTCAGAGTGTTCGATGTCAGGATGAGTGTGACATGATGGAGCGAGTCTGAATTAATGTGCGTGAGTCTTTCCATCTTGCGTTTTCACACATCTGTTTATATCTGGTCTCTCTCCACGCTGCCTATAGGGCCAGCAGTTTTAATGGTGGGTAAGATGTTGGGCCCCAGCCCCCCCATTGTTTCTTCAGGGTCCTTGCCCCGGGCCTTTTCCATCTCTTTGCTGCTTCTCTCCTGTACTGCTTTGTCTCTGGTGCTTTTAACTGCCCTCATTCTAGAAATGATGTATACCTTCAGATCCTCGGTCACTGAGAACGTAGTGCGTAGTGTCTAGGTAAAATAAATGTAGCGGTGGGTCCTTCCACAACATGGGCCCCCCGAAGGCCCCGTTTACTCCTGATATTACCATCTTTTTTCAATTGATTCAATCGAAAGATTTCTGTTTACATCTGGCATTCACATGCAAATTGTGGAATGCTCTAAACTATTGATGTGCATCACTGCGTGTTCATTATTAAGCATAGTGAAGAAGCTTCCAGTCTTGGCAAATGCTTTCTTTTAACGCTGACCTAGTGGTCAGATTTATAAAAACCTTTGATGTGATGGAATGGTGGCATGTTGGGTAGTCTTGCATAGCCATTCTTCAGACAAGGAGTGTCCAGTCCTGCTACTGGAGGGCCACTTTCCTGCAGGGGTTTAGCTCCAGCACACCTGCGTGGACGTTTCTAGTGATCTTAAAGACCTTGGTTAGCAGGTTCAGGTGGGTTTATTAGGGCTAGAACTCAACTTGCTGGAAGATGACCCTCCGTACTCTTAAGAATAATGGTTCCAAGAGGTGGTTTTTGCAGCGATGCCATAGAAGAACCATTTTTGGGTTCCTCAAAGAACCTTTCCGTGAACCATTTATTCTTAGTGTGAAGAACATTTTAATGATCTAAATAACAGATGGAATAGGGGCTTTTGCACCGGAGGAACATTTTCATAGTTCCTACATCTAATGGAGGAAGTTCCCACTTTTTGGCATTTTTGCACCATAGGAACTGTGAACATCTAAATGGGACTAAATTCGCTCCTACTTCAGAGTAGCGTCTAACCCAGCGATACAGGAGCTACCATTAATGTAGCTGAACACATGCCATACGAAACACCAAGATCCATGTAAAAAGCTGTGTAAACCTACACAGTTCACTCCACAATGGAAAACCGTTATAGATTGACAAAGTTAATGTAATTGACCTGTCGCCTTTGTCTGCGGCATTGTTTTCTTCTCAGCCATACTATGAATTTGTGCTCTGCGTTTCATCCATCCCAATGCACACACACCGCAGCTGACCCTTGAAGGTATACAGCGAACACAAAGAAGTGCCCTCTGCCCCTTAGGATCTCTGTGTCCTCTGAACTTTAATGCTTTTGCTCTAAAATTATGCTGATGGTTCCTGCTCTTTCAATCTTTCCGTTTCTTACTAAATGAACTTCCACTAATAGAGACCTTGCAATGTTTCAATGGGACTTTCACACATGAAACGATTACATTTCCGTATTAACTTTTCCAGTGATATTACCACATCTGTTGTTCACATAAGCAACAATGTCTGGTGTTTTATACATCTTGATAACACTTCTACAGCATCATCAAAACATCATTAAAGCATGTTGTTTGCAAAAAAAAGAGTTTTGCCAGATATCGTTAAACGTACAGTGAATGTACAATAGGCCTAGATCAAGACGGAAACAAACTATTCAAACATGAATCCTTGTCTTTTCTGTGACAATTGTTCGTTAAACCATTTTTGTGTAAAATATTCATAAAATCATTCTTGCTCAGTAATGCATTGAACATGAGCAAATCTGTGGAATTGTGTAATTTGTGCGCAAATTTCTTGTTTGTAAAACCATGCTTGTGTACACATTTTTGAAATTGAATTGGAAAAGGGTAATTTGTGTAAATTGTTCTTTAAACCATTCTTGTGTAAAATTCTCACATTAAATTGAATACAAGATTTGAATTTGGCTGTAAAACACCAAGTTCGATTGAGTGCAGCAGTTTACGTAAGAATGGATTAATTAACATTTTGCACAAATTAGTCGTGCTTGTGTTTCATGAATGAGGACCAAAGTCTGCACAATGTTTGTGTATGTCAACTAAATCCAGATGATAAATTACCTCACGTGCGAGTAAATGACAACTTGTAATGGTGTCAGCTCTTTCAGAACGTTAGTAATTTTACTTATACAAAACCTGAATTATTATAATTAGTAGTATTCTTGGAGCATCTTAACCTTATACATGTTAAAACCATTAATGCTATATATACATGCCGTGCTAGGTAGTCACAGATTACGTGTAATCTGGATTACATAATCAGATTCCAAAAATGTAAGTACTTGTAATTAGATTATATTGTAATCAGACTACAGTTACTTTTTTATTGATTACATGATTACATATTATTCACACAATATCAATAAATTATTCATAATTCGATTATCCCCAATTATTCTTTTTCCATCTTTAAAATTCCCCATGCTTTTGTCTTTTAAAGGGGTCCTATTATGCTTTTTCACTTATTCAACTTTAGTTAGTCTGTAATGTTGCTGTTTGAGCTTAAAAAAAGATCTGCAAAGTTACAAAGTTCAAAGTCCAATTCAAAAGGAAATATTTTATTTAACAGAAATCTCTTTTCAAAAACTACAACGAACGACTCGTTTGGACTACAACGCATATTTTCCGGGATTTGTGATATCACAAATGCTGACGAATGGGACGAGACCTGGTTGAGCTTCACTAGAGAAGGCAACGAGTGTTATCACTGTTATCTAGTTTCCCCAAGGCAGATGAACTTAGAGTGGTTACAATCATCTGGGTTTAAATCGCGCTCAAATTGATTTGATTTTGACGCAATATTTACACTGAAGCTCGCAGGTGGCTATGGTAAGGGGCATGACATTTCCCGACATTAGATGTAACACACAACCCTAATATACAAAACTGATAAGAAAAACTAAGAAGAACCATAGTTATTTCAACAAAAAACATCAAATTTGAAATGTAACGCAGGGAATTCTGGGAATGTCAATTTACGGTTATTCACTGTAAATTATACAGTCTTTTTCACTTCCAAAAATGGTGTACTACCGTAAAAGTAATTTTACTGTAGCATTTTTGAGAAGGGTGTTCCTGCATAACCAGAGGCTGCAGTTTCGGGACCCTATTCTTTTGTAACAGCGCCACCTACCGAACTGGACAATATAGCGGAGGCTGCAGTTTCCGCATTTCTGGGACCCTGGTGGTATAATAAAGATGGAATCAAATGAAATCAGCATTTGCAGTCACTAAATTACAGCCAGATATTTAAAACTTTGTAGAGAGGCAAGACTTAAGAATGATTCAAGAATGCGTATTTATATACTGTATATACTCATTTTTGCAATAACACACAATACAACATCATAAAAAAAGACCCCCTTTTCCATCAGTTGCAACTCCTGAGAGAGATAAAAAAAAGAGAGAGAGAGAGAGGGAGGGAGAATTCAATAAGAAACATTTCTTTAACATGTTTAACTCTGTAATATATATTTCTGATTTAACACGTATGCACTGTTGGGGTTGTAGAGAGAGAGAGAACCAAACAGAATAATCATGTTACTGACATCTAACTCCAAATTGAAGTATATAAGAGCAAAACCCACAAACTGAACGTTCTCTCTTCTTTCCTCAGTTGTTTGTCAATCCGGTAACACTTTCTATGAAGCCTGTATTTATAATACATTATAAGGGTTTTCTTAAGCTGAAATAAATTCAGAAAATTTCTGAAAAAATGCAACGTGTGTTTTTTTTATTAGATAACATTTTATTTTGATGGTTCCTTTTAGTCTATTGACTATAAGCTACTTTGCAACTACATCAACTAACTCTCATTAGAGTATTAGTAGGCTTAGTTAAGGTTAGGGTTGGTAGAATAAGTTGATGTACTTGCAAAGTTGCTTATAGTGAGTAGAATATCTGTTGGGGAACCATCAACATAAGTGTTAGCAGATATTTAGCATACAGGCTACTAATACTCTAATGACTGCTAGTTGACATGTAGACGTAGAGTTACTTATCAACAGCTGTCTAAAGGCTACCATCATATTTTGAGGAAATTGATACATTTAAGATAAAGATACAATAATTTGCAGCATAGTTAAAAGATATTGTTAATGTTATTCCTAATTAAGGCCCTTGGTGAACCTTTACTATGAGTTTGTTTGTAATGATGATTAAATGTGAACATTGTTTAAGTACCACTAAATGCTCCTCAGATCTCTGTAACTTCACAATGAGGTCCAGCAGTGTCTTTACCTCTGCGGTGTGCTCATCGACAGCCTGAATGTGGATCTCCTCAGAGATAGCACTCTGTACACTGGCTGAAGAGCTCCTTGGAGCAGGTTTCTGGCCTCATCAGTCCAGAAGGCAAACCGCTGACCATGCCTTTCAAACATCAACCAGATTCATCTAAAGTACCGCCAAAAGGACAGACTAATAACACATATTGTGGTGCAACCAAGCAATGAGCCCAGTTTAATTATGAAAGATGATTTATACTTAACTAATATGCTAAAACAATGAGTATCAAACAAGTTTTCACACTAATACAGTAAGCTACAGTTAAATCTGACACATCTCACATCAACATGCTTTTATCATCTTTTTAAGTTTAATTAATGTGCTGGCTAGATTTACTTATTGTAGTCATTATGTCAGCAAGGTTTAGCTTAATTAAATCATGGCCACGAATTAAGAACATCGTAATAATCAATAAAACTAGCAATCGAGAATTCATTATTATTTCTTAGCAGTTCTCACGTTGGCTACGTAAACTTTGCATCGTTTTAAGGTTATAAAATAAAACCTAATTGAAAATCGGTAAAGTTACTCACTGATTGCTGTCCATGTCGTCCATCTTTAGTGATCCAATTCGGTAGGTGGCGCTGTTACAAAATAATAGGGACCTAGAACTGCGGTCCTGAAACTGCAGCCTGCGGTTGTGCAGGAACATACTAT